GGAAAGATGCCCCTTTTTATATAGCATTTTTTTGTGAAAATATTACTAAGTTCTCGAAATATACAAAAGATAAGGTGATTGATCGCAAAGAATTTTCCCACATTTTCAAGCAAAGACAGCTTTTGACATTGTAGAAAACTTTGTACATAAGGGAAATAATATTTTGAATCACCGTTCTACAGTTTTGGATCTTTCGAACTAGGTACTCGATTCAAATATAATAAATTTATCACCAACCATTTTAAATGGTTGTTTCATGAATCTTCTGTTTAAAAGGGAACTGTTAACGGTGATTCACACTCTACCTGTCCTCGATGCTCTTTCTCTCTCGCTTCTTCTTTCTATTGTAATGTTAATGTTATTATTGTTTCTTTTTCTTTCTCTCTTGTTTTTCTTCTCGTCTCTATAAATATATATCTATACTTAGTGATTTAAGGACATTTTTAGGAAGAGATTTAACATATGAAATAAATAAACTAATTTAAACTCGTCGAAACGAGCTAACAAAAACAAAGATAGTGACTCATTGATTTGATTTACTGATATTAGAATATAAATCGCTCTACGTACATCCTTGAAAGCTCAGGAGTCTGGTCAATGCTTGATAATTGTAACGTTGTTCATGGCGAGCAGCTGAAAGAAAATCTTGTGCAGAGAAACCCATTTCATCACTCTCTTCGTTGTAAGCATAGCCATATTGATTAATTGATATGGAACCAAGTAAGATCAGGCTAACACAAAGGAAAATTCTCGAATGCATATTGTAGCCAACAAAAGAAAGCCAAGATTATGTATGAAACTAAATAGTAACAAGTAACTTACTTTAAAGAAAGTATAAATTGTAAGCTGAAGTATTTGGTTGGAATAGGCAACGATCTATCGTACTAGTTTTAGCTATGTGATGCAATGAAAAAAGGGAGGAAAATGAAATAAGCAGAGAGAGATACGAATACAGACAGCGATGCGAAATAATGTGCAACAAAGGTGAGAAAGTTGAAAAAAAGAGAAGAATAAAAAAGAGAGAGAGATACGGATAAAGACAGAAACACAAAATAGGTAGAAACAGGACAAATTAAGTGGAGAGTGATACGAAGTAATGGGACAGCGATTGGAGTAAGATAAAAATGCATAATAGATGGAGAGAGATACGAAAAAACAGGAAAAATATAAAAACGGAAAAAAAGACCCATGAAAAAAAATACGAAAAAAAAATCAGATTATAATCGATTAATTTTTGATTAAAAATCGCTTAAACTCATGCCCAATCGATTATAATCAATAAAACATCGATCTGCTCCTGCTAAACGATTAAAATTGATTTTTAATCAATTCTAAATCAATTAATAATCGATTAAAAGGTGTGTGATTTTAATCGCTTAATAATCGATTAGAAAAGGATTACAATTCGCTCAAAATCGATTAAAACTAGCTATATTGCCTATATTTATGCATAAACACCTTTATCTATCTATTTCTAATCTCTATACTTTTGCCTAACTCTATCTTACTGTCTATCATTTTGCCCCTATATCGATGCCTAATCCTTTATAATTCTCTTTTTCTAAAGCTCCAATACCGGTTCATAACTCCTTATAACTATGTACCTCTAACGCTGTATACTTATTCCTAACACCTTACATCCATTCATCAAACGTCCTATATGTTCTCTAAAAAAAGTCTATTTTCAGGAAAACCCTTAGAGGGTTTCTGCAGTCTCAGAAACGCATAAAAAATCAACTACAGTACTTTCTCGCATACCCGTATCGGAAACCATTAAAAAGGTTTCTGAGCTCGCCAAAATGGGAACTCTATATGCGACCTCAAAATAATCCAGAGCAAACATACATTTCAAGACCATGCCATGTATCATAAAACCACCAACACGACAGATAGTGTATTTCTCGATTGCTGAAATGTAATTTACCATTTGGATCGAACCATTTGAAGAATCTAAACCAAAAAATAGTTAACATTAGCTTTTAGCACTTACATGTAACTTACTACTTGTACGAGATCTATTTGAAAAGTCTAGAACGGAAGAAAAGTTAATATTAGTTTGTAATTCTTAAATGTAACTTATTATTTCGACGAAATCAATTTGAAAAGTTTAAAACAAAACAAAAATTAAATATTAGCTTTTCATTTCGAAATGTAACTTACCATATAGATCACGTCCATTTGAAGAACCGAAAACAAAGGAAAAGTTTATATTATAATTACAACAAGAAATGAATGGGTAATTAACAATATCATATGAAAAAATATAAAAGAGCAGCTAAATGATTTATTTAAAAAAAATAACAGATGGAAAATTGCAATACATGATATTTCGGTGTTTATTCTCAAACACCATCATCAGGCGAAATCCACCATCTTGAACTAAAAAATATAATAATTTGTTCGAGGCAGCAACATAGCTAACATGAACTGATAAAAAGAATAATCCACGTATGAGCACTATAAACATATATTAATTCATTAATCATATTTTGAAAAATATACATTTTAAAATGATACAATAATGAAGTAATTTCATAGGAACACTCATTGAATTGGTGTATGTATATTTGTTAGGTGGTGTATGAGTGATGAAGATAAATGAGTATTGTGATCAGTGAATTGGAGAGATTGGCATCTTATTGTGAAGTCGCATTTCTTTGTATAGTAGCGGCATATTCTGTTGAAAAGGAATTTGGTTGTTTTTGAGTTGTATGGAGACGAATATATGGAAAACTTATTATAGCTGAATAATAATGGAGTTTTTTCGGACTCAAGAGAAGGCATGTTTGATAAGGAAATAATTTTGATTGAAATCACGAGAAATGATATTGATAGTTCGAAAAGTAAACTTGAAAATCTTTTCAAAACAGCGAAATCTATTCCAAAAACATTAAAAATGCATTCAGTTGAAGTGGTTGATGAAGATGAATTAGAGTTTCGTTATTATTCGACGTGTTCTCAAAAAAAAATTATAACATATTAATAGTAAACATGTAGATTTTTTAGAACTTTTTGTTTGATTTTGTTTTGTTGATTATGTTAGTATTTACATACTTGATGAAATGTAGAAAGGGGTTTTATTCAACCAAGACTTTGTTGAAAACGATAAGATGAAAAGAAAATAGTAGAAAAAGAATTTACTGACAGAAACATCTAAAAAGAAAAACAAAAAAAAAATTACTCAGGTCGAAGGAGGCCGGGTCTTTGTCCTGAGCTGGAGAAACATTAAAATTTAAGATAGCATGTACTTAAATTTTAGTGACAAAGAGCCTCTGAGTGTATCTCGAATCTACAGCAGAAGTATAGTTTATTGCAGCAGGAAATGTTGAGTTTAACATAGACTTAAGAGGTCTCCATACATGCTGATGCTATCTTTAGTGGTTAGAGTTTTAGAAGTATCTCTTGGAACGTTTAAACAACGTGTTGAGACAAAATCACATCAAATTAAAGGAACACATGAATTTTCAAAAAAAAAAAGTGTCGCACTGTTACGAAAAAAGTAACACCGTTACGTTTGTTTTTTGCATTAATTACGTGAAGAAAAGAAGTTAGGACAATTTTTTTTACCATTGTGAAGCTCGCTAAAAGCTCTACTAAATTCATCCTTGCAGCATTTTATTTGAACAGCAAACTTTCGTAGGAAGGCACGGCTTAAGAACAAGCACTTCAAATTTAGGGTACTTTTATGTGACTCCGTTACATTATCAAAAACTCTTTTCAGAGACTCGACAGTTAGACGCAAACTTCTCACTTTTAATAACATAAATAGAGCATGACGAGCTACGTTTAATGGCACTTGAATGAACTCTCTAGCTCCTAAAGTTCTCAACATAATTGAAAAATAGTCTGTTAAAAACGTAACACCGTTACGCTTGGGCAAGGCGATTTATCATTTCGAAGCGTCTTTTTTTTTCAAAAGCACTATATCGATTATTACAAAGTATTCAGTTACTTTATTTATTAAAAATATAGTAGCATAAGTACTTTTCACTTACAAGTATACTTATAGTTACTTGAAAAGGTTCACTTATAAGTACTTATTCCACTTCGTGAAAAAAATATTGAAACTATTTAATAATAACTTTTTTGGATTAAATTTTTTCATGGTCCAGGCATTAATGTCTTTAAGATCTAGTAAACCCAATGAAATTTGCTCTTAATAAGACCACTTCGAGACAGTCCATTGGTGAACATCGATCAATATCTCAGCATATTCTCGAGCAGTGACTGCTGCAGGCGCTAAACAAAACGATGGATGAGTGACTAGTCAATAGACTATAATAAATTTTTATTGCGAGAAATGTTCGTGTTAGAGCGTTCAATACATAAATTCGACGTATTTTATTTCAGTACATATTTCACTGACAGTCATACCTATAGGGGGAAACCATCTTTGAGTAGCAAGAGAAAAGCAAATTCTCGCCATGCAAAGCTATAGTAGTATTATGGCAGCCATATCAATCTAAAGTTCTTGTTTTTGATAGTATTGAATTTAAGCAGTCAATGTGTATACACATAAAAGAACTAGGAGATATTGTATTACATTTTCTTGAGAACTCTTTCAGTAAAAACTGATCTAAAATTTCGTAAAGCAAAGCTTTGATTAAAGTCGTTCAATAGATAAAAAAATCGTGTGAAAAAATACATCCCACTAAACTTTACTCCAAAATACTTTTCTGATAGCTTGTACAAAATGTACAACCTGTCTTAATATCTACAATCATAGAAATGGCAGAGGGTTTACAGAACAAAGAAGATTACATAATTGACAGTATCGTATCTAACCAAATCGAATTTCAAATTCAAACAAAATAATATAAAATTTGTAAGGCTTTGGATTCGTTGCATCTCTAATTGTATATTTGAATAATGCGCCATATAATTACTATAGAACTTTAAATATTCATTTCATTATTTTTTTTTCGATAGTCTTTATTAGTTTTGTTTTTCTTGTTATTATGTCGATATTGATGTTAAACGAGAAAAGTTGTTTAATTCCAATGATAGAACAGAAAATTACATCCAATGATACAATGAATAAGATGTCAACATTTAAACAATCTCGTCAAATTCAAATAATTAAAAATTTTATGTATTTGATTTCGTTATTTGATTTTCTTCTACATTATGCTCTTATGGTTGAAATGGATTTATTTAAACAGATTTATTTATCTTTTAGAAAGTTTTCGGAATCTTATTCAACTGCTATTTCATTATGTGAATTACCTATTAAAAAATATTTACCATTCAGTTTATCACAAATGAGTTTATACATATTTTATTTTTCCATTTTGACATTATTACTTTCAACGGAAGCTATTCGAAAATCATCATCTGTACTTTATCGTTTTTATATTATAATTAAGTTTATTATTGCTATCAGTTCATTCTTCCTTTGTATTATATATACAATAGTCAATCAGATGATGCCTTTTATACAAACATCTCTTATTATATCACGTTTAAAATATGAAAATAATTCGATTTCTCTAACAATTGATACATGTCTTATTTATGCACGTGAAAAAATAGCGATCTATATTCTTGCTATATCAAATGTATTGATATGTTTTATTAGTATGGAATGTTCAAAAGTATTTTCATTTTTTTAATAAAACAATGATTATTAAAGTTTAAAGATAATGTTATTTGTTTTGGTTTTGATTTTTGAATAAAATGACACTTGTATTCAATCTGACATCTATTGATTGAGAAAGGGAATGGTTATTCTCTTTAAACTAATATAAAGAATTATTCAATGTCTGTCTGTAATATTAAATATTTCGAGTAAAAGAAAATGAAGTATTGTGATGGTATTCTACAAAGTAGAGAAAACATTTTGCTTATTTTTGGTAGCAGTATTGAAAAATTGCTCGTCTTACTCTTGTTTATATATTCTAACTACAGATTAACTTACGAAATACCTTGTTTTTTTCTTGTCTTAGATTCCTAATCTTTTTTCTTATACATAATTGCTCACATTTTTTCCTTGTGTTTTTTTTTTATTTCTAATATACATATAATAGCTCAAACGTCAATTCAGAGAAGTATGTCTTAAACCTAGTCAGATGAATATGTTATTTTTCCATATTGTCTTTACATAGGAACATATTTTTTATAGCAACATACGAATATTAATAACTTTATCTTAAGTGATCGATTCTGAACTATGACGCTTTGAGATACTTTATTTTAAATTTCTATTGATAATTTAGTTGATTTACCAAGCAGAAATACAACGTACAAAGCATTTGCTACTTCGGATGTACATATTGCCAACGGAGATCGAGAGGTCGATCTGAAGAGTTTTGAAAAATTTTTATTTGTTTCAAGCGTAGTGCCATCGTTTTATTGTCGTTCAATCAAGGATTGGATTGATTTGGTTTCGAATCGATCTTATCTTTAATGTTTATTTTTAATTAAAATATGTTAAATATCTGTTTAGATTTTCCAATTAAAGACAACATACGAAGATGATATTTCTATTTTAGATTTCTATTACAAACTTTGATTATTAATATTATGAGCCATACGAAAAAACATAAACGATATCATTGTATGTATTCATGTAGTCGTTTGACAAAAAAAAAACGATGAAATCTTTTATTTAAGATAATTCAAATGATGGAAGAGATGAAGATGAACATCAAAAACATCATCTATCAAAAATAATAGAACAGCCGATTGAAGAACCAGTCATAGATCCATCATTTGATTGGCTTGCTCGACGTCATTATCTTACTGAGACATATCTTATTGATAGTTCTATGTTTAGGTTTATAAATTCTTTTCAATATTTCATTAAATTTATTCTCATCGGTTATTTATTTCTATAGTTCTCCTAAAGACCTTGAAGATTTTTGGAAATTTGTACAAAAATATCAATTATTTCAACAACGACGAAAACAACCACATAAACCTATATCAACTAGTATAAATCATTTAAAAAAAAAACTTTTTATTTCAAACATCTCATTTTATATTTATAGATGTTGATCAACAACGTTCGAATATATTAAATATACCAATAATTTATGATAAAAACCATCGTTTAAATATATCTATAACAATAAATAAATCATTAACACATAATGTTCCACGTTATGATATGACTGGTGAGAAAATTATAGATCAGTATCGTTTATCTTCTGTTCGATTAGCTGAATTTAAATCAATAATTGAATATTATTTTGATTTTAATCAAAAAGAAAAAGTAAAAGAAACATTTTTATCTTATATTTCATAAATGAAACTTTTCTCTTTTGCAAATAGTTTAAACGTATTTATAAACTTCGACAAGATCAAAATAATTTACCAATTGCAAATCATCGTCGAGAATTACTTGAAGAATTAAAAATTCATCAAGTCATTTTAATTGCTGGTGATACTGGTTGTGGAAAATCAACACAGGTTAAATTTAAAGTTTTTTTTTTTCTTATCCAAGAAAAATTGTAGCAATATTTTAGAGTTTTAGATTCCAAGATTTTTACTTGAAGCTGGTTTCGATAAAATAGCTTGTACACAACCAAGACGTATTGCTTGTATTTCATTAGCTAAACGTGTCAGTTATGAAACATTAAATGAATATGATAATCAAGTTGGATATCAAGTAATGAATTCTTTGTTTGTTTTTTTTTTAGTAGCTCCAAAAATGGATCATACAGATTTAATTTCAATTTTTTCCCGTCATAATAATTCGATCTAAATAATTACTTAAAACTGTTTCCAACAATGATTTGAGGGAAATAAAGTCTTCAGAATATTCCTAAAATCCAGAGTCTTTGGAAAACTAAACACCTAATTTTTCATCACATAGAACTCGAAAACAAAAGTTTATTTTGATTATATGGAGCAACTTATTTTCTACAACATTTTTCTGACCGAACTACATTCATATGAAACAATGCTCGCCGTTTGAATTCATATTAGATCTACAGACAAAACACAGCTAGAAGAGCAAAAGTCTAAAAGCATTTGTTTTCATCGCCCTTTTACGTCGAGTTATGAGCGGTTTACTGAATTTGTGATCCATCTTTAGGAACTAACTGGAAGACCGAATAACAGAGTTTTGACCTAAAATCTTATCTATAGATAGGTCGTTCTTTGTCACAAAAAAAAACGAGTTCAGTTGAAAATGCAATAACTCAACAAAGGAACATTCTTTTCGGCTGAAACTTTCAGAATATTCCGAGAGTCATTATACCTATCTATGGGCAAAATTTAGGATCAAAAGTTCGTTATTCGGTCTTCCGCAGAATACCTAAAAATGGGTAATAAAATCTACTATCATAACTCGGTGTCATGAAGGACTAATGAAGACAAATCTTTTTAGACTTTTGCTATTCTCAATCAGGTTTGCTTGTAAGTTCAATATGAACTCAAACAGTGGCTATCAGTCAGATTAGTTCTCTTGTAAGGAAAATTGGACAACAACAACTCTTAGAATTCTCTTTAAATTTATGTAATTCAGTCAAAAAATGGGTTCGCATACATGTCATTTTCTAAAGCATTAGTTGATCTGTATAATGAAAAGAAACTTTTATTTTCTGGTTGTTTATGCTGAAAAGCTAGATTTTCTAGTAATGGAAATAATTCTTTCTATGGATTCTTTTTTTACAAGTTATCATTAGGAAAAAAAAATCGAAATTTAATCTCTATGATTAATTTTTAGAACTACTACAAATATAAATATTCAATAATATATTTTAGGTTCGTTTTGAAAAAACTCGAGTAAAATCTACTCGAATTATATTTATGACAGAAGGTAGAGAAATTTTTTTTTCATTTTTTAGTTTTTAATTATTAAATAAAATTTTATTATTTTAAGGTATTCTTTTACGTCAACTTCAAACAGATTCATCTTTATCAGATTATGATATATTGGTGATTGATGAAGTTCATGAACGCCATTTATTTACTGATTTTATATTGGGTATTATTAAATGTTTGATAACTCAACGAAAAGATCTCAAAGTTATTCTTATGTCTGCAACAATTAATATTGAATTATTTTCAAATTATTTCGAGAATTGTCCTGTTGTTAAAGTATGATTTTATTCATTGACATATATATTTTAATTTGATTGATTATCTATTACGTGCAAATATTGATAAATATTAAAAGTTTATCACTCGATTATGAGTAGTTTATGTTTTTTATTCGTTTCTTGTTCGATAATTGTGACTTCGACAGAATCGAATTTTGAAATCATTCAAATGTCTTTTTTCGATTAGCGAAATTATCTTTGGACAAAATTCTAAAATTGATTATCCTTCTGATTTAGGTACCAGGTCGTTTATATAAAATTCAAGTCAATTATCTTCCAATTAAAGTTGAAGAATCAGTTGGAAAAACATCAAAAATTGATGCTAAACCATATTTACGTATTATGGAACAGATTGATAATAAGGTAAAATATAACTTGCATTTTTAAGTTGATCATCACTTGTTTTTGTTTTTGTTTGTTTGATATAGTATCCATCAACAGATCGTGGTGATATGCTTATATTTTTAAGTGGTATGGCTGAAATTCAAGGAGTTATGGAAGCAGCTCAATCATATGCTCAAGAAGCTCAACGTTGGGTTGTTCTTCCATTACATAGTGCATTGTCACTTGAAGAACAAGATAAAGTATATAAATTTATTAAAAAAATTAGCAAATAGCCTATAAATTATGATCTTCTTAGTATTTCTACGGTATGCACTGAATCTGAGTATTCAAGTGCAGTCTTACCTACAGGCATTGTAATTTTATTAATAAAAGGAAGCAGACATAAGCCAAAAGAAATTATTTCAAACTTGACTATGAATAGAACTACATGCAACGGAATAAATGATCTAAACATCCGACACTTTATGAACTTGTTCGATAGTTTCCAAACCCGAAAACGAATCGTTCGCTCCGAGCATCAAAAGTCAGAGTTTGAGTTCGTTGAATGTCTAAGCTCGACTACGTTTTGTTAAAATCTATTTTAAGAATTGTTTTTGTTTTGCATAAATGTTAATTAAGAATGTTTTTCTTAATATAACAATAAATTTAAAAAAATTAATACAACAACAATGTGAATACAATTTTACATCATTCATTACCAATAGTTAGATAAATCGAAGTAGAACATATGGTAAAAAATTGATAAGTGAATCTTTTCAAAAGGATAAAAAAAAAAAATACAGAGAAAATGACTTTTTATTATTTATCTATTTAATTATTTAGGTATTTGATATGGCACCTGAAGGTATACGTAAATGTGTTATATCAACAAATATAGCTGAAACATCAGTAACAATTGATGGTATGCGTTTTATAATTGATTCCGGAAAAGTTAAAGAAATGTCATATGATGGAAAATATAAAATGCAACGTTTACAAGAATTTAATATAAGTCGTGCAAGTGCTGAACAACGTAAAGGTCGTGCTGGACGTACAGGACCTGGTGTTTGTTATCGTTTATATAGTGAAAATGATTATTTAAGTTTTCAAGAATATTCAACACCAGAAATTCGTCGTGTACCACTTGATTCACTCATATTACAAATGATTTCTATGGGTTTAAAAGATCCAAGAAAGTAAATATTAAAAAAAAAAAAACATACTTTTTCTATGAAACACGATCTAAGCGAAACGTTGAAGTATATACGGTAGAAATTTTCATCCTACTCCTTTCTTACAGATCATGAAGGATAAGATCGACAAGCAGTCAAAGATATCTTAACAACGCTTGTGTCATAGGTCGTGACAGATGATTTAGCAAGATTTTTACTCTATGACATAGACTGCAATAGACGTTGTTTAGATAAGGTCACAAACAGCAGTTACATCGAGTTTTTGCATTTTAATCTAATAGAAATTCTGCTAAAAGCTTTTGATCTTATTTTTCAAATAGATTTCCATTTGTTGAACCACCAGATATGACAGCTATAGATAGTGCTTTACTTCGTCTTCAAGAACAAGCAGCTTTATCAACAATTGATTGTTCATTAACATCAATTGGTTCCATGCTTGCTCGACTTCCTGTTGATGTTTCCATTGGAAAAATGCTTATATTTGCTTGTATTTTTCAAGTAAGAAGAAAAAAAGAAATAAGAAAAGAATTAAAATCTTATTGACTTATTTAGTATGTTAATCCAATATTAATAATGGCATCAGCATTAAGTATTCAATCACCATTTCTTAGTTTTCTTCAATGTGATCCAGATACAATAACACGTCGTCGTCCAATGATGTCGAATCATGGTGATCCATTTACATTATTAAATCTTTTTGATGAATGGATTTATGTATGAAAAGAAATTATTTGTTTGAATTTTTAATTACAGTTTCTTTTTTTTTGTTGTTTCGGGATTATAGGTGAAATCTGAAGGACAAAATACTCGTACATGGTGTAAACGACGTGGTGTTGAAGAACAACGTCTTTATGATATAACAAAACTTCGACGACAATTTCAAGATATTCTTCGAGTATTAAAAGACTGATTGTTTTTTTTTTCTTTTTTTTTTTTATTAAAAAAGAAATTTAAAACTTTTGTTTTAAGGATTATAATATGGAAATTGATTATCAACAAGCTAAACGACGTACAACACTTGAAAAACGTGAACATTGGAAGAAAAAACAACAATTAAAAGATCTTAAATCAGAACATGATAAAGAATCAAAACAAAGAAAATTTCTTAAATTAGAAGTAAGACAATATTAGCTACTATAATAATCATGATAATAGTAATCTATTGATTTATAATAAAAATTTTTGTTATAGTTCAGCATTTTTTTTAATACGTATTGATCGATCACCGTCAACGATAACAATAAAATCAATCTAATTTTCATATTGAGATTAATTCGAATCATTATTATAGAATTTCACATCTTGTCTTGTTCATTACTTCCGTCTCAAAATTCGATCTTGGGCTAAGTACATTAAAATCGAATGAAATTTTCACCCATCATACAACGAGGTCTTTAGGAGATATTCATTAAATGAAAGTGAAAAATAGCTCTTGTTTTATAGATAACATTTTTCTCATGTCGCAAGTTTGTTCACACCATTTCGATACCCATAGGAACCGACAGTATGCTGTGTACGTAGATTCTCAGACAGAGAACAACTCTTGGTATATTGCCTTAGAATGACCGTCCAAGGATAGCCAATCATTTAAGTATTAAAGTATCGCTGGTTTTTTGCCAGTACCAACGAATACCAACAGTTTTTATCCTGTTCTAATCACATGAGTATTTTTTTAAAACTTCTACTATTTATGTATGCGATTCAAACCGGCCAAAACCCGTTCAGTATCATGTGCGCTATGCTATCTGCAGTATTAGTGAGAAAAAAATCGACCCAGTGTACCGAGCATCAACTGACGGTAGTTTAATACTTGAACGGTCGAGTATTCTTTGCTTGTCATTCTATCGCAATACACTGATAGGATGAATAGACGTACAATAGAAGGTATAGAAGTATATTTTCATATAATAATGAAAAATTTTAATTAAAAAAAAACCGGGCGATACAGCTTTACATGCTCTTTTAAATTAGAAAAAGCAAGCGGATACAATTAAGTTCCTTCGAGAGTTCTCCAATACCCGATCATAAAAATATTAAAAAATCTTTGGAAAAAAAATTATGTTGTATCATGAAAGATCCAATCTGAAGAAATAAACTTATTTTTGGAAAGTAGCACTTAAGGGGGGACCCTCCTCAGGAATCGCTTTTCGTTATTCGTGGACTGATTTGGCTGAAATTTTCAGGCAATATGTGTGTTGCGCTAACTAAATTTCTTGCAAATTTTTGACTCATAAAATTCTTGTTTTAATGAGTTATTGACAAATTAGCCCTGAAAATGGTGGTTCTCGTAAGGTACCGATTTCTCGGATTGTCGAAGAGGTAGAGAGCTACCTTTTGTTTTAAATAAAAGAGAAGACCTGAATCTAGAAATGTATATAGCGTTTTTTTCGAAATTCGATTTTATTCGGATTTCCGAAACATTTTCCTGCAATAACTCGGAATTTAGTTATCCAGTTACCTCGGCAAAGAAATCGAGTTTCGAAAAAAACGCTATATACATTTCTAGACATAGGTCTCTCCTTTTATTTAAAAAAAAGCAGTAGTTCGCTAGCTCTTCTGCAGTCTAAGAAATCGGTTCCGAGCTCTCCAAAAAAGTGATTTAGAGAAAACCAATCAACAAGTTTGTATGAAACAATTATTAATTTCACTATGACTGTCACGACCTCTATACGGCAATTTCATCATGTATACAGGATTTTAAGCAGAAATGACTACGTTCCTCTAATTAATTAATGTAACAGAACGTATATGTATTTTTCTTTAACCAAAATCTACAAGTTNTTTGATAAAATTTCATCATTTGGATCCAGCATCACCCTCCATGAGTTTCATCTGAGTCCCACACTCGGAAGTCGAGATTCAGCATACTGAAAAATCCTGGATACGTCACTGCCATCCTATTTACCACTGGCTTAGATGGATAAGGAAAACTTTCACTTTTAGATTCAAGTCTGTACCAGAGATATTCATCGCGGCTAGAAATATGTTGCTGCCGTGACGTAGTCCTAAAAGAGACAAAAGAACCGCGATGCGGTCCTAGAAGAGACAAGACTACCGCGATACGGTCCTAAAAGAGGCAAGGCTACCGCGATGCGGTTCTAGAAGAGTCAAGGCGACCGCCACATAGTAAGCTATATAAAAAGTTTCGCTTCTGCGACGGTTTTCGAGAAATTCTTCGAAAACTTCTACCACTACTGCTAAATTTGCCTTTTCGCACCCGACGGGCTTTATTAACATTTCTGATATGTATAGAAGAAATTTCTTCTAATATTTTCTAAGGTATTATAGAAGCTATTGCTTTTAATTTTTAATATGCATTAAGTAAATAACTTACTAAATACAATTTTGAGCTTTACATGAACCTTGAAGTTCATATGGACAAAGAACATGATTAATATCAATAAAATAAGATTGTAAACATGTTTTCCAATACTGTTCACTATTTTGAGTAGAAAATCTAATCAATGAAGAAAACAAAACAAAACATGTTTTTAATCAAATTTATTTAGAAAACTTTTATACTTACGAACGTGTTCGAAATAATAAACATGAATTATCTTCATTTGATAACTAAATTTAAAAAAAAAAAATAGATAAATAATTAGATATCAAATAAGAATATAAATAACCTGTTGAATTTTTTTCGATATGGTATTTAACCAAATATGATATGGACGTAATTTTCGATAAAAATTTAATGGACAAATGAGTATTGATAAAAGCATTTGAGTCTATAATATCATAGAAAATAATAATAAGAAGAAATAAGATAATTATTTATTGTCAATGTATATACACATACACTGTTTTCTTCGAATACTTTCAGAATATTAGCATAATCGAATTCAATCGTTGCTCGTGATTTAGGGATAGGTGAGGAAATCTAAAATAAAATATATTAATAAAAAGAAATTTTTCAATATTAACTTTTAAAATATTTACTGGTTTAACGGATTTAAAAACAGCAGATTGAAGAATTAAATCTTCTTGTTGTTTAATATTTTGTGCAATCGACATTGCCTAAATAAATCAAATCAATATAATCATATTTTTTTGTTAATCTATTTCAAAAAACAAAACAATCCCAATTTTTCTTACTTCTTTTTGCCAATAATGTAAAAGTGCATTGTTATTTGTAATTTGAGTTTTTTTTGTTAATAATTGTTCTTCAAGTCTTTCAATATCACGTGCTAAAAGTCCATTTTCTAATTTTTTCTTTTTCATTTTTTCTTGAATTTCACCATATTTAGATCGTTCGCTAAGTAACATTCGACTAGAAAAAGAAAAATATGTTTTTTTTCTTTCGTCTTTTCAATTATATTTTACGAAAACTTTATGATTCAATTGGGATAAAACTCGTTCGGTAAAATGTACGCTGTACCAACGACAGTAGTATGATACTTAAACGGTCATAAATCATTCATAGAAGAAATAAAGGGGAAAAACGCATGATACTTTTGAAGCCTCTTAAAGTAACATAAAACGTTTGAAAACACATTTCAAATATCATACAGATCGAACTAATCCATATGGTACTATAATGTCTTCAATAGAGCATCAATCGCTCTGTAGTCTTAATAATATAGTATAGCTAACATTCGAATCCATTTGAAATATTGAGTCAATTTTCTAAACTAGTATTTCGATCTAGAGTACAGAAAGTTATCGTTACATTACCGGGTAGCTGGTAACGAGAAATTTCTTATCCTAATTTCTCGATAGGGAACCGGACAGATCACCGCAAGACAATTCGTTGCAAAAAATTTGTCATATGGAGAGTGTGGGTCTGTGGATCGATATCTTTTCTTTTCCTATACATACAGCCCGAAAATATATTGTAACATTTTGTCTATACACTCACTTATTCTATCCATGCAACTATTTGTCCTAGTGTCGATGGATATTTCAAAGAGATATTGATTTTTTCATAAAATTTGTCCATAGATTTTTAGGATTGATGAATTCAACTTTGTAATAGATTTCTTGAAAAAGTCCGTTCGAACCGGAAAATCGTTTATCAGACTTTATAAACAATGAAATTTGTCCTTCGATAACTATTTCTTAACGAAAGTTTTAAATTTACGATTTTTGTTACTTGATAACGGTAACTTTCTTCTTCCTAAAGGAGAAAAAGCTAAAAGCTTATTGAATATTCTATAATTCTTTTTTTTTTCTAATAGATAAAAAAATTTGTATACCGTTTATCTAATAAAGCACTTAATTCATCAGTTGATGGTATTGCTTCTTGAATAATATCATTCGATGGTGGTGGTGGTGGTGGTGTTTGAGTTTTTTGCAACATTATTTTAGTTGTTGATTCAATAGTATTAGTTCGTCGAATAAATTCTTCTTGAAGTTGTTGTAAACGTTTAATAGCTTGACGTTCTTCATCAGCAATTACATATGTTGATTCATTTGATTTTTTAACTATTTGTTGTTGTTGTTGTTGCTCATCATCATCTGTTGTTTGATCATCAAATGTAATTATAATTTGATTTGATTGTGGAATTTCAATATCAGTTTCAGGCTTAAAAAAGAAAACTAATGAATTAAATTTAAAAAAAAATAATGATTAAAATACGTACTACACGAACAATTTTATTACGTGTTTGAATAATTGGTTGTGTAGCACGAACAACAGTTGTTGGTGTTGGTGTTTCAACTTTATTTGCTAAATTTGTTGATGATACATTAGCTTTAACACGTTTATATCGTTGATTAATACTATATTGTGATTTTTCAATTGGTTTATTAACAACAATAGGTGTTGAATTTAAATTTGTTTGTATAATTGTTGATAGAGAATTTGATGGTACTATTGTAACAATACGTTCTGGTTCTAAAATTGTTTTTTCAATTATTTTAACTTTACGTTTATTTGATAATGTACGTAAAAGTTCTTCACGTAATAAACGTTCTTCTTCATCATCCTCATTATCTTTATTATTATGATTTTCAATTAATAATGGAGATTTTTCTTGTATTTTTTCATATTGATTTGTTGTATTTATAATAACAATAGGTGATGAAGATCCACGTTCATGATGATGTTTTTTTGGCAATTTTTTTGAACGTTTTCGTCGTTGTTGTTGTTGTTGTTGTGATTTTTTATGTAATAATTGTTCATTGATTTGATTTATTGAATGATGATGATGATGATGATGTTGATTATTATTTATTGGTTGACGACGAAGATCAACATCAGTTGTATGATTAAATGATGTTTGCCATAATTCATTTTGAATTGTTGGTATTGATGTTTGTTGAACGAAATTTGGTCGTGGCCAATTTGTTGATGAAAACGTTTGATTAGCCGTAAATATATCAAATAAAGATGGTGGCGGAGGTGGGAGTGGTGGTAATGGATCAAAAAATGGTAAATGATTTGGTGGTAATGGTGGTGGTGGTGGTGGAAGTGGAGGTAACGGTGGTTGTATTACAGATATAGGATGATCATCAACAATATCCATTTGTTGAATATCATAATTATCAACAAGTTTTTTATTATTGATATTTGTAGTAGTTGTAGAATTATTATTATTATTGTCAGGTGAGATAAGAGAAAGAAGCATATCAAAAACACTTGGATGTCGATAATCTTTATCAAGTAAATATTCTCGATCATCATTATTATATGATGTTTGATTTGTATATCGTGATGATGAACGAGCTTTATTAGGTGAACGAAGATCAATATCATCTTTTATATAACGATTATTATCATTCGAACGTTTTCGTTTTGATTTAAATTCTAATAGTAAAAGTAAATATGAAAATTAATTGAAGAAAAAAAAAATTATAAGTTTACTTTTAGTTTTTTGTTTTTTTGCACCAGCTAATGATCGTAAAGCATTTAGACGTAGATTAAGTTCTTCAACATCATCATTCTATTATTGATAAAAACAAAACAATAAGCTCTGCCGTACTCCAAACTATTCTATTCTGCAGGGTAGACTCTAAAAAAACATTTCAGCTACAAAACCTAAAAGAGTACTTCGTGTGGATAATTTTTTCTAGTGGTGGAGCCAGGAGGGCTCAGCCTCCTAGACCAAAATTCTGGCTCCGTAATAGAAATTTTCTTTTAGAGTATAGGGGAGGATAAGAATTAAATTCGATAATTAGTGGCGGCGCCAAGGGTGGGCTGAGCCCACCCCGAAAAGTTTTGGATATCGATAGTTTTAAGACCGTTTTTATTTTGTAAAAACCCAGTGTGGGCTGAGCCCACACTGAAAAAAAAATCCTGGCGCCGCTACTATCGAGAATGTCCTTCAATGAATAAATCGCTTGTACATTATCTAGACTCAAATGAGTTATGAATATTCTGAAGAGCTCATGTCCTTAACATATTACTGTGGAGATCACGTTTTTTTGCGATAGTGAGAGTAGTTAATTGTGAGAGTTTCAGATCTTTTGATTTGCTTCTATCTTGAAATTAGAGAAGGAAAGTTAATATTGCTTTACTATTCGAAAAAACTTGAAAAAATTCAGCAACAAATGTTTGAATCGAACGTCAATTCAGTGTTTGTAGAATTTACATTGACTGACAGAAGAACTTATTTACATCTAAAATAATTACATAATAAGTTTTGTGCTCGTATTGTGGCAAAAATTTATTGCCTATATGGTTGTTGTGCATCTTTTTTATAATCGCTTCCTTGTAGGCTTAATCAAGTGTTTGTTTCGTGCTACTTAGATAGGATTAATCAGTTAGAAATGTAAATGTACGCAACCAAGTATTTTTGGTTTCGAGCCCGGTCAAGAGAAAACTATTTCAGAATTTATTCGTATGACACTTCACTACTCGTTTTTTTATTATTATTTATTTAATCGATGACTAGAACTCTTTTTTTGAGTCCTCTCGTTGGAATTATGTTCTAATTTATAAGATAATTAATTTAAATGCATAGAATATTTTACTATACATACATCTGATCCTTGTGATTCTGTTATTTCACCATCTTCAATTTCTTTTTTATTAATAATAGCATCATCATCAAGTGTAATTATTTCACCTTCTTCAACTGTTGATGTATCATCAATAATTGTTATTTCTGGTTCATTTTGATTATTATTACCATTATTATTAGTATTCGTTGTCATATCTTCATCTGTTTTAGTTATTCGACAAAGTAAATCAATAAATTCTTGTCGACTAACATTTGAATTTTTTACATCTGTTATCATCTAAAAAGAAAAAAAAACAAGAACAAAACAAAACTGTCAATTGTATTATTATTTAAATAAATAAAAAAAAAAAGATGCGTCATAATAATTAAAACAATAAGCTCGAAGATATGAAAACAGAAAATATTTGTTTTTTTTGCCGATTTAAAAAGCAAAAAGAAGAAGAAAAAAAAAAAAAACTAAGTTTGAAAGACTACCATAATTGACATTTATTACTCGGATTCATCGTTGTCTTTGATCGACATGAAAATGCTTTGGAAAATTCATCACTATTTTGTACTGTTCCAATTATACGAAAAGGTGGTGGGGAATGTGGATCATTTATCAAATCATGATGAATGGAATTTAAAGTTTGGATATTACACCAAGTCTATGAAAAAAAAAAAACGAAATTTTTATCATTCAAAAATTAATAACAAAAAAAAGGAATTTCCTACATGAGCAAATGAAATAAAAAATAATTGATCATTGTTATAATTTAAACCTGGTAAACAAAAATCATTATCACTATTTAAAGTACTTTGTTTATGTTTTTGATATGCAAAATAAGATATTTTTATACCACCATTATCAGCAATATTTTCACCTAGAAAAATTCAAATAATAGAAAATTCCAAAAATCAAAATACAAAATAATCAAACTTGAGCAATTTATTAGCATAAAAAAATTCTTACAATATTCGTTTATATTTTGTCTAAAATAAAAACTATGTTATCAAAAGTTTTACTTCACGAATTTCTCCGTTCGCATTCAATTAGTTTGCACGACGGAACTCTCTTCAGACGTCTTTTTGTCTGATACTATATAAGATAAAATTATTTGAAGATATACCATCTTTGCAACAACAACAAAAATAACCCCCCCCCCCCCATGTTTAGCTTTGGCGAGAACGTAGGAAATGTATGGACGAGAGTTTTTCGATTCGAGTCTAGAGAAACCTATTCGAAAATTTTTTTTATCCCATCTAAAAAACGATTTTCAATTCATGTTATTTTATTTATTTAGTCGATAGCTGCCACTTTTTTAGGTCATCTTTCTTAAAAACTATGTTCTAATTTATAATTCACTTAAAATCATAATCCAAACATATGGATATGATATTTTATATAGCAAAAACCTATTCTCACTAAAGCCTGTCTTCAATCGGATTGATTTCAAGATGAGTTTTACTTGATACATTCTATAAAGATTAAAATAGTTTGCGTCTGGATTTTTTTTTGCATTGATTTATAATGATGCGAATAATTTTTTCAATAATACGAGATTCTAGAAAAATCTAACATTTTCATAAGAAATCAATCTTATAGTAAAACTTCTTCATCAATTAAATAAATTTCAGTAACATATTCGAAGAAACGAATAAAAATAAAATTATAATTAATTTTGTTCGTTTTTTTTTTTTTTTTAATCTAACCTAATGTTCTTTGTCCATTTTCATGTTGTCCATCGATTGTAAAATTTGAATATTGTTTCATAAAACATTTTGTTCTATCTTGAAAATTATTTAAAGATATATTTGTCCACCATGAACGCATATTTCCATCACCATCAAATTGTCGACCTTGATTATCAAAACCATGTGTAATTTCATGACCAATTATAGTGCCAATAGCTCCATAATTAATTGCTAATGGTAAATCTTTATGAAACAATGGTGGTTGAAGAATACCAGCTGGAAAAACAATTTCATTTGATGGTGGTGAATAATAAGCATTAACTGTTCGAGGTGTCATACGCCATCTTAATCAAGGAAAAACAAATCATTTCTACTATTGTATTTTCCCTTTTTTTTTTTCTAGTTGAAATCTTTAAAAAAAACTTCTTACGCAGTAGGATCAACTTTTTGTCGATATTTGAAAATTTTGCGTTTGTGTTCTCGATTGATTACTTTAATTGTATTATAAAAATATTCATTTTCAATCATTGAATAACCAGCATAACTAAAATTAAATCTTTTTTTGGTAAACACATGATTGTATAAGATTACAAATCTGTCCATTATAGAACAGTTAAAAATTTATGTATCTTTCAATATAAAATTTCATTTTGATGAAGAAAATCGTTGGTTTTGAATCAAAACTATGTGCATCATGTAAACATTAACGATTCTATGAATATTCTAAAAAGAGTTTGTGTCCTTCGATTATGACTGCGGAGAAATTGCACTTTTATGGTATTACTTTGGTAACAGCAAAAATAGATTTTCGACTTAATATTGCTTAGAAACAAGTCTTAACGGGAACATTTTATTGTGAAAGTTTCAGACCTTTTGTTTTACTTCTATCATGAAATAACAACACACAATCTGTTTATGTACTTTGAGCGATATAAAGATTATAGCTGTATCTTATCCACGGAAAAATTTTTCAAGAAAAAACCGCGGTTTCATAAACCGCGAAAGTCAGACCTTTTATGCGGTTTTTGAAACCGGCGAAAACCACGATGAGAACCGAGAAAACCGCGGTTAGGTCTACAAAAACTCAGCTCGGACCGCGGTTTTCTCGGTTCTCACCGCGGTATTTGCAAACCGCGGTTTTCGCTGGTTTCAAAAACCGCATAAATGGTCTGACTTTCGCGGTTTTTCAAAATGTGGAACAAAACCGCGGTTAACCTTAGATTAACGCGGTTTTTTTCGGAAGAATTTTTCCGTGGGTAGGATATGTATAGCGATATTGAAAATCAATCTTCCTGCTACTACGGCATTTATTTTTTAAAAATACTGCAAAATTACAGTACCTTCGCAGGAATAAGTTAAGAGTATGAACTCTTTTCAGAGTATTCATAGCTCATTTGAGGCTAAATAATGCACATCGTCTCAACTCGAAAGTAATTTATCATTTGAAGAACTTATCTCGTAAATAAGCAACCTGTTTTTTTGAGTTTCGAAATCAAACAATTTTATAGCATTTGAAAAGCGCTAACGATCGACATATAAAGATTTGTTGTAACTTAACTGCATACATCTCTGACTGTCGGCAAGTCAATCAGAAGAACGAAGTTTTCTGCTAATCATACCATCGGCTACTAATGAAGTGACGAAAAAAAGATATTGATAACTTCTTTTTATAACACACTCAACAAATCTCAATAGGAAGCCAATTGCATCTAAGGTTTTTATTAGAATATTATGTAATATCTATAGACAAAGAATTATTGAAATCGTAAAGAAAGTTATCTCGTTAGTATTAAGTTAAATATAAAAAAATAGATAAATTTATAATAGTTTAAGAATGAATATACTTGTAGTCTTATGTTACTATGTTTTTAATAGTATAACTAACCGTTCATTTAGTTTTGTTTGATTTTTTATAAAATCAGGATAACCAATTTTTTCATTTATTTTTTCTAATTTTTTCTTTGCTTCATTTTTTGATTGTTCATCAATCCATTGAAGATTATTAAGATTTTCTTCAAAACTTAAACGAATATTTTTTACTAATTCATTTGCTTTTAATCGACTTGCTTCATCGAATACAGCTCGAGTATATAAAGCACCTAAATTTAAAAAAAAAAACTTTTTTTTTTTTAATTTAAAAGATTTTTTTTCTATGATATTTACCAAGTCCATATCCAAATGCATCATCTGTTTGTCTAATACAATATTCCCATCGTTCAAGTATTGAATCTATTCCAAAAATTTCTTTTTTTAATGGTAATAAAGCTTTTTCAAATATAGATGATAAATGTAAAACTTTATTATATACAAATGAAAATAACATATGATCAATAATAATATGACTTTTATTTTGTGTTATTAAATAATTTGTTAAAATTTTTGACAATTGTAACATATGTTCATATGATAAAATAATAATTGTATCATTTTCATTTAATTTTATTGGATTTAATGTATTTATATTAAGTATATCATTTAGAAATGAATAAATATCAAATCCTATAGATTGATATTGTTCTTGAAATTGTTTTAAAGTCATTAAATAATATGTTTCTTGTGGTTTTTGTAAAATTTCCATAGGTACTTAAAAGAGAAAACAAACAATTGTTTTTTTTTGTCTTTTTATTAGTTAATTCTTATTAAATAAATTTATATAGAATAACATACAAAAAAAGAACAAAACAATGGATATATTTATCTAAACTTAGAGATGTGCAGAGAGTATAACAATAAGTGCAGACAAGGATTAGCATGCTTACCATTGATTTCTCTAACCTTATTTTTTATTGTATAAGTTCATATAAAATGACAAATGCTTTAAAAAAATTTTTTTTTTGATATTTGGCTAAAATATAGAAAATATAACATAGGATTTTAATGATTTCAACTTTTTTTTTTTTTTTTTCATTAATTTATAGTAACAAAAAAAAACGATAGCTGTTGATAAAATATCTGCAGGATTAAAAGGTAAAACACGATATAACTAATTACAGGAAGGTTGTTTTATTCTATCTATTTTAGAATACATTTCTTAATTAATTATCTCCAGAAATGCAATATATTAATAAGACTATGAATTAGACATGCGTTTCAAAAAAAAAAAATCCTATCAACTATATTGATCACATGTATCCTATATTAATATTTCGTTTTTGCAACTAAAGTTCGACTGTTCCAAAAAACTTGAACCAGATCGGACAGACACAAGAAATCTTCATCTTTTCATTCTTGAGATTAAAGATTTCAGTTTATTCGATTGTTTTGTTTAAGTGCGAAAATATATGACGTCTTTATTTTCAAACTATTCAATATTGAAAATTTTCGTTCCTATCTGATGATTGTATATCTGCATCGGTATACTGAACATTCATGAGTCCCATGTAGAGCCCATCGAGTCTGAAAATTTTTTTAACCCAAAGTGGATAACTACCCTAAAACTACGAGATACTCTTTTCCGGTTTTTTTTTGTATTTGGCTGCTAGAACATTCAACACATTCTACAAATGAATAAAGTCTATCAGGTTTTCATGTTGTTCGTACTATCGGAGTACTCATATGAACTGATGATATACCGAATGGTTTTGTTTTTCTATTATTCGTTATAGTTGATAAAAATAAAAGTATTAATATTGTTCTTACAATTAATAATTGCAAGTTCAGTTTCAAATTGAATAATATCATTTATACGTCTGATTGAATCATTTTTTTCAAAACCAAGTAATTGTAATATATCTGAACCAACTTTACTATATGTTTCTCGAATCTAAATCATAATTTAAATATAAATTTTAAAATCGAATAAATATATAAAATAATTTACAATTTGATTTCTTTGGTTAGTTTGATTATTTGTTGTTAAATTAATATAATAATCTCGACTGACAAGATTGAGTTCGGGTTGATCAAACTTGAAAGAAACAAAAAAAAAAATTTTTCGTTGATCAAAAGAAAAAAAACAACAAAAATTTACATGAATATTATTCCATGTTGAATTTTTTTCATCTGAATCAATTTCAATTGGAAATATATTTGAAAAACCATATTGAGTTGAAAATATTTTAATTAAATAAATAAATAATTGTTGCCATGTTTGATTTTTATCTAAATTAATCCATTGTTTTAATGTAAAATTTAAATTATATTGAAAAATTTTTTCTAATGGTTCAATATGTAATCTTTCAAGTTCCGTTATATTCATACATGATCGATAATATTGAATAGTTTGTTGTTCAGCATTAATTACTGATGATATTGATGTTTGTTCAAGAAGATTTTTTAATAGAATCATATTTTTTTGTGTTAATTCTTGTGTTATTGACCATATATAATGACCTTTTGGAATGATAGTTTTTTTAATCCAATCACCACATACAAATTGATGAAAATCTTCACATGGATCAATTGATTGATTCATACCAGAATAAATTTCATATGATACTTGAATACATGATGGTGTTAAACATATAGAATTTTTTAAATTTTTTTTATTATGTAAAAAATAAATAATAATTATAATAAGTAAAATAATTGTTAAGAAAAATAAACAACGTTCAAGTAATGTTCGACGTAAGAAAAATATTTTAAATTTATTCGATTTTGCCGAATATGTTGTAAGTTGAGGATTCACTTCAAATTGATATGGTTCATCAATTTCAATTTCATGTAAAATAGCTGCTGAATTTCTTATATTTGAATCGAATTCATTATCGAAATGTCGGTAACCATTCATTATTTTTATCCACTCTTTTCGAATGAATATTTAGATAACTAACTAAACAAATCATCACTTGATTATACATAAAAGAAATATAGCGCTATGTTACAAGAAATTATTTATTTATCGATAGTAGTGACATCTAATTCAATGAAATCCAATCAAAAAAAAAAAACGAGACGTTGTTTTTGTATAAAAAAAACATTTTTTTTTTCTTAATTCTTTATTTAATTAAAATTAATGTTTGTCCATGGATTCGATTTTAGTATAGCAAAAATATATGATTATTTCGGTACTCATAAACGAATAATCATTTTACGTGTTAACTTTAGAAAATGTCACGAATACTCATTAATTGTACTTGTGCTGGTATTCAAGTACTTGAGGTCGAAAATCAATTATTCGACTTGTAATATGACGTGTTTCTGAAATACTCGCTACAACTACCGGACTGACTCGGTGCTTATAAGAACAAATTTTAGCCTGTTTCCGACTGTATAACTTGAAATAGTGGTTAGGACTTGGATCTATATCAATGAATGCACCGCCCGGATCCGCTCACCGGACTGCTGCTTCCAAGTTTCTACTAATTTTCAGAACTTTCCGATCGTAGCTCATTCACTTGAAGACGCAAGAATCCGGTGGCCGAATGTGACTGCAACTAGAAAAAAATGTGATCACTGGGTTCCTGCTTACATATTGGCAAAATTGACCTTTTTGGAACTTGGAATTGACAAGTCTAATTTCTTTTCGGATCGGAATTCCTTATCCTAAATATATATATTTTTCGACTAAAATGTATCTTGGTTTTTTTAAATATTATTGTTTAAATAAACTTTGTGAACGAGTAATTTAATCGTTTGTCCAAAGATTAAAAAAAGCAGCGCATAAAGGCAATATTCGAACCATCTTCCAATACAATTTTGTGATGACTTAATGTTTACAGACTTCCACGGCAAACATTTGGTGACAAAATAATGCTATTTTACAAGGACTCAGATCTATTTCCACTAAAAATATTTATATTCATCTTGAGTTCCATGAATGAATTTTTCATGCACAGAAGAGTAAGCTATTTAAATTTTTCCGTATCAGCATATTTCGAACTGAAAATCCATTCTACAATCTATCTCTGGTTAAAATTTCAGTTCGTACGATTGAAATGTTTCTGAACAATGAAAAAAATGTCGTTCGAAAGAGGAGTATGAGACTCATTTCGTTATAAAATCACTTCTGTTCAGAACTACAAAATCTTATATTTCTTAATTTTTTTTTAGAAATGCACTTTGATTATCATGAGAGTTTAAATGCCATTAGGATACCATATTCTTGCATTTCATACATATCAATAATAAAAATGATGTGTATATGCCTACTGTAAGTATAGATTTGAACGTTGCACTTCCTTTTCATATCGACACTCGATCTGGGTAGAATCATGTGATATGTTACCTTGTTACTTTTTTGACAAAATTAATCATCACAAAAATCAAGGACAGTGATAATGCAATATTATTTCCTGTGTACAAATTTTCTTTATTTTTTGTTCACAGGAGATACAATATTATGCTTGTATAAGGGATATTTGAGGGGTTGTTTTCATCAATGTACAAAATATTTGGTTAGCAATCATCCAATGAAGCAGATAGTTGTTTGTCAACAGTTTGCTTTGTTGTTATTGTCAAAAAAAATTAAAAATCAAATAAATGTCTAAAGTAAAGTGATTGTGAACGATGTAATTTGGTGACAATCAATGACATAAACGTGAAATATTGTCATAAAAAACAGAAAATGATGAACAATTGACTGATCAATTCAAAACAAACTTGAAAGTGAGACGAAATCAAACATTACTTATACAACACTAAAAATAACATATTCTATTCAAAATTCAATTTCAAGAAATGTGAGGATTTATTTACAAAAAAAAAACTTATCTCTCTAAGCTAGAGGATCGATAAACAATATAGAGCTTTTAGTTTCTCCATACCTGAGTTCATAAATCTTATTTTACATAGAAAATATTCTACTAGTTTAGAATGTTTAGTCTCGATTAAGTGTATGTGTCAGTTAGTGTCAATCGCGTAATAATACTCCTTAACCATCAGGAAAAGAAACCTCCAATATACGAATTCAGTCTACTAATACCAAAATCGACGAGCGTTAATAACTTGAAGATACCCGCTACAATGTAACCTGCATTACCAGCCGCAAGATAGAACCAATCTGCATCCACAGTTCCAAGAAAAGACGACAGGAGAAATGCAACTAATTTCTTTTTTTTTTTTGTTCATAAGCATATGGTTTTCTGGAATCAACAGTGATATAACCTTCTGTAGTACAATTGCAAGTATAAGTTGATATGGAACACACTTCGTTTCAACCACAATTAGCATCTGTTTTACATCATATTGTGGCAAGAGAGATGATCGGCGAAACATAAATACCCAAAATGAGAAACCAAACAATGTCAGCATTTTATTTTTCTTAGACAATGAAAAGAGCATGAAGTATAATGAAAGTATTGTTCTTACAAGTAATCACGTTTGTTTACAATGTATTAGTGATATCAGTTATCTCCGAAAAGAATTCTCATGATAAGAAAGAATTTCTTCCAAGTAAATCTACTTTTGGAAAACATAGAAAATGAAACTTCTCCTTTCAAAAACAAAAAAAGTGTTAGCTGATGATTTTCTTGTTGTATTAAAAAGGTAAACATTTTTGTATATCCTTTTCTTTTCGAAAAGACAGCAAATTTTCAATCTTATATGCTTCTTAATAGCTTGATGTTTGAGCGGCATAACAAATAATTAAAAGTATCTGAACGAAAGAGATTTATCTCTCGAGAAAAACAAATAAATCCATGCGACTTGATGAAAACGACAGCAAACGAGCTATGATTATACAAAAATGCTCAGGAATCAGTATTGCACTGTAGAGATCTATCAGAATATGAATATTGTTACATTATAGAAATAATAGTGTGCAGAAATTCGAATTGAATTTTTTCAGTTCACCTTTCTTTCTTCATTCCAGACTTTAACAATCGAAGAGAACCAGTACCAGACTTTTTTAATAACGGAAAAAAAAGCTTGGAACGGAATTCACGACAACAGTTTGACTGTTCTGGAAAACTCTAGAATTTTCTGTCAGTTTTTCATTGAAATTTGAATGGTTGGAATAGGTATGTGAATATTTTAAATAGTGGAGTTTTTTTTAAATTTTTGCACAGATAAAGTTTTATATTCAAACTGTTACCGATGATTGGTCGTGATGCATTGACTTGCCATAGTTGTCACATGATCATCATAATAACAATGCTAAATAAAGAAAAACTGAAAAATAAAGAATTGAAAGCGACAATGCAAACAAAAAATAGGATGTCCATAAAAAAAAAAAAAAAGAAAAATTTTTGTTTGAAATGAAAAAATAAATAAGCCAGATCTTCACATATTCTGGTGATTAATTATCTTGAGAAAAAAAATTATAGACTACGAGAACTTTTTTCATTTTATGTACGTTGCATAAGTTTAGTCAGACTAAGAAAAAAATATATGAGTTCTATATTTTCGTCTGAAAGAAGTTACACTAACAAGCTTTATTTTCAATTATTGAAACATGATGGCAATAGATTAATTTTTACATTCGATATTTGAGAAAAATATTCTATGAATCATCGCGATTACACATTTAGTTAAAAGCACGACGAAAGAACTATTTTGAGTGTTCGATGAATTTGAATACCATGTGACTTCATGTTGCTTTGTTTACTTCATATGAATGAAAGAAATAAAGAATGAAATACAACATAAAATCCTCTGATTGTTTACATCGCTTTTTTCTTCATTTCGATTGATATGTTAGAAAACCCTTTTTTGTCTTTTGTTACCATTTTCAGATTTATTTTACTGAATAATTTATATAGATCATGTCTGATTCACTAAAATACATGAATCAAATCAAACGTCAACTTAGTGTAGATAAGTCATATGATGAAGAAATAATAAAATTACGAAGTAAGTCGATCTATTCATTTGCATATTTTGATAAAAATTTCAATTCTTTCTACAATTTTGTTATTAGATTTTGATAGAAAACAGTAAGTAACAAAATTTCATCAAATTATATTGTTTATTTTTCTTCAATTTTATATTAGCAAATCGATTACTTCTATTGAAAATTTGTCCAATGAACTTTTTATTGAATTTTTCGATTATCTCGATGGATGCGATATTTACGAAGCATTTTCAACACTCAATATTCGTTTTCAGCATCTTTGCTCATCTGTAATTTTAAAAATAAATCTTTCTTCATCATGTCCAACAATTCTTCAGAATAAGTGTTGTCATATTATATTTCGAAATAAACATCGAATTATGTCACTTTTTTTATCGAATATATTAGCTGTTAGTACATTCTTCAAATTTGGTACCATTGATTCATCATTTAATCATCTCGAATCACTTGTTCTCATTGGCACTCAGACAGATCATGTCATGGGACTTCTCATCAAATTAACATTTCTACCTCGTCTATACTCATTGACTATTATTCTTAATGATGAGCCGCCAACTCTAGTCGGACTATATGGGATAGTTTTCAAATTACCTTTCTTAAAATATTATAAGATCTCATCAAAAGTAGATAATAAATTTGTTCCATTCTTACTTGCTATTAACAAAGAATATAGTTGTATTACACATTTGGTGATTGATCATTTATGTACTTTGAATCAACTCATTGTCATACTATCGTATACACCTCAACTTCGTCGTCTTAGTTGTGAAAAGTTGTCCGAATCGTATCCAAACACTACAAGAATAGTACCAATAAAACTTTCCTATGTAAAACAAATTCTTCTTTTTCGATGTGAATTAGAGTTTGAAAATTTTGAGATGTTTATTACATGTATATCTTCTCAAGTTCAAGAATTATGGATTACTACATCAAACAATCCAGCCTATCTTAATGCTGATCGATGGGAAATATTGATTTCACAGCATATACCCTATTTACGAAAATTCTTCTTTCTATATCATGAGCCCATCCATGGTGTTTTTCAATTGCAATCACACCATAAGTTGATTCGTCGATTTACTTCATTATTTTGGATCGAACGACGATGGTGTTTTGAGCTTAACATTGAAAATTGGAGTGATGATTTCAGACATATTACTTTTGTTATTTATCCATTAACATATGAGTATAAACGAAGTAGATTGCTTATGTTGTTAAATTTATGCTTTATTTTTTCTTTAGAAAAAAATGGTACGAGTTTCATTATCATACACAAAATGATACATCTCTTGATACATATACTAATTGTAAAACAACACAACAACTCATTATTCCTCATCAACAAAAAACGATTAATTCTTCAATTAATCTTTCTCAAGATACTCGACTTATTCTCGTAATTTTTACTGGCGAGAGTTTCAACCAAGCTGAAAAGACTCAATTATTCATTGATCAGATAAGAAATAGTTTTACTATGATTGATATTATTCATTTGGAAGTTAGCTTTGAAGAAATATTTGTTGGTACATTAATTAAATTTATTCAATTATTTCCTAATCTGAATTCATTGCAAATTGCTTTTTGGTCATTACTGAAATTGAATTGTTTATATGTTGAAGATTCACAAATTTTTCATTTAGTCAAACATAACAACAAAATTACTAAAGTCAGTCTTCGTAGAATACGAAAAATTGAAGATATTTATTTTCTCATCGATCTTTTTCCTCAAATGCAATATCTTGAGATCGATTGTACAAAGTATATCGATCCAAAATTGTTTTTACGATCTATTTTACCGATTAATACTAAATGCATTGGTCATCTCTCTTCATTGTGTCTTTACGTTCAGAAAGTAAATGATGAATTGATTCAGAAATTACAAAAAATGATTGATCTAGAGAAACTACTCAGTGATTATACCATTAAATGTATCAACAAACAAAGTATCTATTTACAATGGAAATGACATTAAATATTTTCGTATCTTACTAGTTTAGAATGATTTATGTGACGTATGTTTTGATTTCTTTGCCGATTCTTTGATTTTATTAATTACATTTTGTTGACTATATTTAACTGAATAATTCTTTAACAATAATCGTTTTAAAAAAAAAACCTATATTTTAATAGTGACTACACTTCTGATATATATGTCAAACTTGAAAAGTTGGATTTGAAATATTCAATTATTCACGAAAATACATACATAAGGCGTCTTTCTTCGAATATTTGAACAGTTGTTTAATAATTGTATGGAATTTTCAAGTTTGGCATTATTGACAGATATGAAACGATATATGGCTACCGGGAAAAATAAAGACGTATAAACAATAACTCTGTACACTGCCCAAAATCCACCGTTATATAAAAAAGAAATACATATCTTTGACTCTCGGGTCCTTATTTAACATAAAATCAAGTACTTTTTTTTTTGTTTTTGAATTCAAATAGATCATTGTATGAATATTTGATTTCTTTAACATACATATTCATTGATTTTCTAGTGAAATTCATATTCTTGAAAATGAGAATGAGATTAGAGGTGGTATTTTCTCTTTATTTTACTTTACAATAGTAAGAAAAGTTGAGTTACTTTACTTTACCTGGCAAAGCCAAGATGAAGTGCAACCCTTAGGTAAGACTAGTTACGATAAATCATGTATTTCGAAATTCCTTGAATCTTATTATATGCCATAAGTGTCGATATACATGATTCCTTAAGTAGTATCTATCGAACCAATTCATAAAACTATATTTATTAATAAATATAGTTTTGTGATGGATGTTATGAATCGGATTGAAGTAAGTTGAAGCTTTATAGGGTGATCCAAAAACGCTCAAAATTGAAATTTCAATTTTGATAGTAACATATTCAGTTAGAAAATAAATTATTTTTATGATACTAACAGTGTGCAGCGGTGAGGAGTAGTGATAAAAAACCGTGGATGACGATGGTTAATCTTCAACTAACCGTGATTATCAGCGGTTAACCAAACGGTAAACTGACGGTTTTTCGCCGGTCCAACCGACATGGGAATAGTGTGACTTTTCCGGTTGTGTGTACTGTGTGTTATTATCTACTCTTATTTCTTGATTGAATTGATTTTTTCCTTCCTTAGAAAAAAATCATATGATTAAGTTAGATAAAATCTAATGATCATGGTGAAAAGAAATTGGCTTTGTCTATTTTCTAGCTCAAAGGTTTAGTTTTTATTCGAAGTATTCGTTGATTTATTTACTATCGAGTCTTATATTTTATATTTAGTTGCATGAATGATTGCTATTCGATAAATCGTATGAGAGATATTGATTTTTCTGGAACAATATAATAGTTATGGTTTAGTAAAAAAGGCTTTTGTATTTATATTAAGTGTAGTCTGGTTTGTTGGAAATATTCAGACTAACGAGGGAACTATTTCAGATACCTCCCTCCCCTGGATTTCAATGAATTTTTGTCTATAGATACTAAATAGTGTCCTAGTAAAAACCCTTAAAGGATTTGAATTCCTATCACTTCCTTCAAAAGTTATGCATTTTTCTATTTTGCTCCTGTAAGGCATAATATATAATATTTAAGAGAGGGTTCACCAAACCATCGATTAGACCAGATCTTGCTAAATATTTTCTTCTGTTTATTTAGCGCAATTGACAGATCATATCGAGAAACTTATAAATCTAAAATATCAAGTTGTTCGAAAGTACTTGTGAAAAATACCCAGGAGTGTAATCTTCGTTTTTTTGTGGTTACATCGTAAAAATTCAATAAAATGTTTCTTTTTACATATTGAGGGTGGTTTAGAGATTTTTTCTATCTCTGATAGTGCCATTGACCCAGAAAAGATCTCAAAAGTTAGAGAAAAGAATTCTCTATAAAATGGAATATACCGGTGTTCATTACGATAAGTTTTAGTAGTTGATTCTGCTTTCACAAAAAAAGAGGGTCTATGTCTGATGGTCGTTCATTCGCTTGTAATTTGTTCCTAACCTCAACAAGTTATAACGTTGCAAAAAAAAATGAATCAAGTTTTTATAAACCCTTGACATTCTGCATCATTTTAAGCCTTTTCTGGGTCATTGAGGCTATCACAGGCAGAAAAATTCTCAAAACAACCATCAATATGTAAAAAGAAACATTTTATTGAATTTTTACGATGTAACCACAAAAAAACGAAGATTACACTCCTGGGTATTTTTCACAAGTACTTTCGAACAAGTTGATATTTTAGATTTATAAGTTTCTCGATATGATCTTTTATTTGCGCTAAATAAACAGAAGAAAATATTTAGCAAGATCCGGTCTGATCGATGGTTTGGTGAACCCTCTCTTAAATATTATATATTATGCCTTACAGGAGCAAAATAGAAAAATGCATAACTTTTGAAGGAAGTGATAGGACTTTAAATTCTTTTAGGGTTTTTACTAGAACACTATTCAGTATCTAAAGAGAAAAATTCATTGAAATTCGTGGGGAGGCATCTGAAAAGACTCCCTCGTTAGATGTAATTTTACGATTTCCAGTAAATGCTTAGTGCTGAAGTTCAACTATGTACTTTTCTTTCTTACGATAACATTTTTTAGACTCGATCATATCCGTACGGTCTTCTTAACATGCTGCTCTTGCAACTTACTCATGAATTGTGACGAACATAACACTATATCTCACTTACGATTAAAGCAAGTTTTTTATTTTTTACAATGCAATACAATAAAAATTGTACTGAAGATGTTTGTTCTGCACACAGTGAGTTTACGAAATGTTTATCGGAGCATCAAGAATTCTTCGGTTACTTGTAATACGATAAATCAATTATACATGAACCTGACTATACAAGACAAAACAGTCACTGAGCTAGATGAAAAAATTTTTTAGACGGAACAATAAATGAGGTTAGAAAATTTGTATTCAATCGTGTCTTATTTTTAAAAAAGAGTATTACTCGTAAAAAAGAAATCAAGATGAGATGGAAATTAACAATATTGATAAGAATGTTCATGGCTTCATATAACTCATGCATCATCATTTATTTAATAATATTCAGAATCTAATGTAAATAAATGGAGAATTACTCATAAACTGATGCCATTAACAATTCATGAATTTACTTAACAAAATCTCAAGAGAGCTTCTTTGTATTCTATTCTTTTCCATTTCATTTGCTACTAACATATCGATGAAAGAAACAACTCTCAGTAAGTAATTTATAATGCAATAAATTAAAACTCTTAACAAATGTCTTTTTTTTTTCGAAAAGGTCTTATTCATCTGCCATCAAGAATGAGTTACTAGTGTTTTCAAAGATACTCTCATACAACTTTCGAATAAAGGCATTCTTTAAATATCTGAGTTGATGTTCGGAAAGAAGATAAAATATTATTTTTGAATGATATTTTTTCATCGTCTAGAATACTTTAAAATAAATTAAAAACTATCGAAATCCTCTCTAAACAAACTTTTGTATGATCTTTTATTCGTATACTTTTCGTATATAAATAGATTTGGTAGAGAAAGCAAAACTTGTCGGAGTATTATTGTAGAAAAAAAACAAACTTAAATATAGTGACGCTAAGCTTGAGGGTTATTATATTTGGTATATAGAAATAGAAATAGATTTTTTGTTGACACAATTATATGAGAGTGTACGAATGCAAATGTCTATAATGATAGATATACAGGTACAAGAAATAGTATCAAAGAATCAATAGAAGTAAACGATCAATTAAGTTTTAGAAGCTGGTAAAAGAGTTTCTTCACCGTTCTCGCAATGATCGTTAATCTTGTCAGGATGAGATGGTGTTTTGCGCCAATAAAGAAACGACCAGGTAAGATGAGCAATGAAAACTGGTATTAAATGGCCTACATAGAACCAAAGTTCGTTTTCATTGAGCGGAGAGAAAAGGAAAGGTATTGAGCAAGCGAGTACATATATAGCGTCAATTATAAGACAAATACTCGTAATAATCAACAGTTGCTTAATGTAACGACGGCGAACATTTGATATATTGAAGTGCCAAAGAACAAAGAAGAATATAATGTATAAACTAATAATTACGACTGAGATTTGGCGCAAGCGAAAACTGAGCTTAAGACGCTCAGGATTAAATGAGAAATTCTTTGCAAAACCAAGCAAGACACCAGATCCTATTAAACCAATAGGTACCATGATCGCTGCAATTCGATCAATTATCCGACTTTTCATGTTGCCACGCATTTCTGTTAAGCATTGAAAATTAGACGCCAATAAGACTTGAAAGCTTATAGTTATGAGTGATGCTGTGAACCTGTACAGTCGTTGCGTGTTTCGTTGTTCAATACTCAACGTAGCACGTAGAATAAGTTCGATAAAAGTAAGAAATTGCGACAAAAATATTAAAATAGCCACAAGAGTTGGTCGACAACCAAACCATAATGATTGAATCAACCAAAAAGTCAACGAAAGATAGACAAGTCCGGCAAAAATTGCAGCAACGCAAACTGAAGGAATGTATGAGAAGTAAGGATAAATACCAACAGTGACATTCATCATTAAAATTGTCTTGATTCGAAGCAAACGTTTATGCTAATGTTGAAATTCTACCACTCACTTTTGTATCTACTCTCTACGAACACTAATGTAACGCTGTCGTTCTTTATATTATAATAAATTGATCATGACATTAATGTTTCATTATAGACGCGCAAAAATTCGGTTCTGCTCGCGTATTTTTCTTTTGCGTTCTTTCACGTCTTACACGACGTACATTGCAATCAAAAGCACAGTAAACAAATTCTGGCTGCATCAATACCCCAAAAAGAGAGGTAATGGCAGTGGTATAATATTTTCTTCTTCTTTTGTACTATAACTTATGTCGCACATAAAATAGCTGTTACAGCCTACTGTTGTGTTAGTCTACATCGAACAACTTGTTTCCTTGTTTTTATTTTGTCTTCAAGAAAACAAAGATAAAAAATTGATAATCGCAAACAT